AATAGAATAGAATAGAATAGAATAGAATAGAATAGAATAGAATAGAATAGAATAGAATAGAATAGAATGCCATCTCTCTTATCTAGCAAACATTCTCATTGAAAGCAAGCCTGAATACATCCAATTAGATTAACAGGCACCTCTTTTTGACAGGGTCTCCTTAGGGGTCCACAGGTCAAAGTGTTTATCTTCTGGAGTCCTTGGTGCCCCAAGCTTACCACAACTGATAATGTTACCTAGTTGGATAATGAAAGGTCTGCAAGAAAATCACCAAGCTCAAAGAACACAACGGACCCCAAGACCCCACAGTCCTCCCCCGCCTCCTTCTCCTCCAAACCCAACTCCCTTCTAGCACTGATGATGTTCCCTAGTTGGGTCATGAAACGTCTGCAAGAAAACCATCAAGCTCAGAGAGCACCAAGGACCCCACAGTTCAACCCAGAGCTACCAATATTCTCTTTTCTTGGGATATACAGTATATTTATTTATTTATTTATTTATTTATTTATTTATTTATTTATTTGCCAATTGTTTACAAGATAATAAGTATAACTGTATACATAGTTGTGAATACATGAAATGGGTACATATAAGAAAAATAAAAGAATAAGAGAAACAATAGGACAGGGACGGTAGGCACGTTGGTGCGCTTATGCACGCCCCCTACAGACCTCTTAGGAAAGGGGTGAGGTCAATAGTAGACAGTCTAAGGTTAAAGTTTTTGGGGTTTGGGGAAGAGACTACAGAGTCGGGTAGAGTATTCCAGACATTGACCACTCTATTGCTGAAGTCGTATTTCCTGCAATCAAGTTTGGTGCGGTTTACTTTGAGTTTGTATCTATTGTGTGCTTTTGTGTTGTTATGGTTGAAGCTGAAGTATTCATTGACAGGTAGGACATTGCAATGTATGATTTTATATACCATGCTTAAGTCAGACCGAAGACGGTGTAATTCAAGGTTTTCTAGTTCTAGAATTTCAAGTCTGGTGGCATAAGGTATTCTACAACGAGTAGAAGAGTGGAGAACTCTTCTTGTGAAATATTTCTGGACTTTCTCAATTGTGCTAATATCAGATACGTAATGAGGGTTCCAGACTGATGAACTGTATTCGAGTATTGGTCTAGCAAATGTTTTGTATGCTCTGGTTAGTAGTGTGATATTACCAGAGAAAAAGCTACGTAGGATTAGGTTAACAACTCTTAATGCCTTTTTGGCTATGTAGTTGCAGTGGGCTCTAGCACTTAGATCATTAGAGGTGAGTATTCCCAGGTCCTTTACAGAGCTTGGGTCATCAACAAGATCTTGACTATTCAGCTTGTATTTTATTTTCTGATTTTTTTGCCAATATGTAAGACAGAGCATTTATTTGTTGAGATTTGAAGTTGCCATTTGTTTGACCATTCAGATACATAGTCAAGATCTTTTTGTAGGGTAGCAGTATTGTCTGTGGTATTGAACAGCTTTACATCATCAGCGAAGAGAACGCAATTGCTCTTAATATGATCACAGAGGTCGTTTATGTAGAGTATGAAGAGAGTTGGTCCTAGAACACTGCCCTGGGGGACACCACTATTGACAGGTACTGGATTTGATAGGACGCTCCTGATTTTGACCATTTGTTGTCTGTTTGACAGGAATGCTTCTATCCAGTTATTCAGTTGTCCAGAGATACCATAGGATTTTATTTATATCCTTCCTTTCTCCCCTGGTTTCTTCTGTGAAGGGCAATGAGACGCTCCAAGTAAGAAGGGAAGGAGCAGGAAAGCTGATGCAACCCCCTTCCTCCAATCCAAAGGAGGACCCTACCTCAAGATCTGGGCAAATCAAGCTGCAAACTACGCCAATCTTCTTCCCTCTTCTTTCCACAGGTAGGCCTCCACACTTTCAACACCTCTGAACTCGGCTAGCAGGTTTTGTCGAAGAGGGGAGGTTACCAATTGAAGGACAAAAATCTTCCTTCCTTCCTGCCTGCCTGCCTGCCTGCCTCTCTTTTTTTTTCTTTCTTTTCCCCCCCCCTCAAAAAAAGAACAGTCATGTGAAAATGAACACACTCTTTAAATAGATACTGAGGCAGTATAATGCAATCAGCTGATCTGGTAGAAAGCAGCAAGATATGAAGGGAAAAATGCTATCTAACTGACTGGTGGTTATAGATTAGGAGCCAGTTCTAAGCAAAGTGGAGGAAAAACTCATTTTCACCCAATCTCGATTAACCAGCTCCCAAAGTTTCCCCAAACGATATGCCATTTCCAAGAACTGTACATCAGACCAAAAATTTTTTCCTCTTCCTTAAAAGAAAACACTACTTATGTTTAAACCACACTACCCTAATTTCCCCCAAACCCTAATTTCCCCCAGCTCCAATCTTGAGTTTTTTTGTCAGCATGCCTGATGGATGAGTTGTAGAAATGTAGACATTTTCATATTCGCTGGGCAAAACTTCCAAGAAATTAAACTAATAGGGACTATTCTCCTCCCCTTCTCCCAAAAAAACCGCCCCTTTTGTCCCCCCCCCCATTTGATTCTGCAACCAAACAAGACAGACACAGACTTCAACAGATAATTAGAGCTGCAGAAAAAACAATTGCTACCAATCAGCCTTCCATGGAGGACCTGTATAATGCTGCACCAGTCAAAAAAGAGGGCTGGGGAAATATCTACAGACCCCTCACATCCTGGACATAAACTGTTTCAACTCCCACCCTCAAAATGACGCTATAGAGCACTGCACACCACAACAACTACAAGGACAGTTTTTTCCCAAACGCCATCACTCTGCTAAACAAATAATTCCCTCAACACAGTCCAACTATTTACAAAGTCTGCATTGCTATTCTTCTATTGCTATTCTTCTTCTCATCCTTTCTAGTACCTATCTCTTCCCACTTATGACTATAACCGTGTTGCTTGTATCTTTACAATTTATATTGTTTTAATTGTTTTCCTAGTATGTTTTTGATTGCATATTAGTAACCTATGTATGATTTGATTGCTTATTAGTAACCTATGATTATCACTAAGTGTTGTATCTTATGATTCTTGATGAATATATTTTATTTTTTCTTTATGTACACTGAGAGCTTATACACCAGAGACAAATTCCTTGGGTGTCCAATCACACTTGGCCAATAAAGAATTCTGTTCTGTTCTATTCTATTCTATTCTATTCCATTCCAACTTCTGGAGGCAAGTTGTTCCACTGATTAATTGTTCTAACTGTCAGGAAATTTTTGGACTTCGTTGTGGCTGTAAGTCAAGGAGTGCCTGAACATACAAAAACACACATATTTTGGAGTCCGTGTCAAGAGGAACAAGGGAAAAATCTAAAGATTTCCAGCTAGTTTCAGACTTCAGCTATTTTCGCTGTTTCCTCCTTTCCCTCTTGTTTTTGTGTAAGATTTTTAACTAATATTTTTGTTTTTATCTTTATTTATTTTCAGTCCCACAACTTTTCCATATTCTTCTATCTTTTTTTCCATTGGTTCTTCTAAAAAAATACTATATCATCTGCAAATGCTTATAGTTTATATTTTCCCTTTTTTATTTTTGTGCCTTTTATTTCTGGATCCTGTCTACCATTTCTATTTAACCCTTCCAACATTAGTATCAATAGTAACAGGGAGAGTGGACATCCCTGCCTTGTGCCTTTTTCTAAATATTAAAATTCTCTGTGTAGTCCCCATTAACTATTACTTTGGCTGTTTGCTTATTTTGTCTCAATCACATTTAAAAAAAAATTCACCAAGATATTCTAACTTGCCAATGTACGTTGTCAAAAGCTTTCTGTGCATCTAAAAAGATCAATGCCACTTGCTGTCCCACATGTGCTTCATCATCATCGTGATCACCATTAGAGTTGGAAGGGACCTTCGAGGTCATCTAGTCCAACCCCCTGCTTGAGCAGGAGAGCCTATACCACTTCAGACAAATGGCTGTCATAGCATTCCGACATGTCTAGAGTCAAGAGTAAAATGCAAAGATTTCCAGCTAAGTTTCAGACTTCAGCTATTTTCACTATTTCCTCCTTCCCCT